TCGGAAAATTGAACCGCGGTACTATGCGGTTCCAGTTCCGGTTCCTCAAAATTCAGAACTGTGAACCGGCTAGGTGGATTCTAATTCTGGTGCGGTTCGGAACCGGGGACACCCCTATATATAACATTATAACCCATCTTTCATACTCTATGACACCAATTATTTTGGAGGTTTTATGCGTACCATTGAGAAGGGAATATGTTCTTAATTTATTCCAATAGGATGGAATAGCTTTGGCATTAATAAGTTTTGGACATGTTAAAAATGGATGTTGAACATATTACTGGTAATATCATATATAAACCCTCACTGAGTTAGAGAGGGATCTCGTGCCCCTCGCTAATTGGTCGGATGGATAATTTTCTCACTGCAATAAATCAGGCATTTCCATTTTAGGAGCCTTGCTTCAAATTGATATTGAAGAATTTGATTCTTATAGATCTATGGAATTGCTCTCTACTAGTGACATCCACAACTCTTCATAACACCTTACGATGTTTTTACTTGGATTGAAATTTTCTGGTTTGGTCTGGTCTGAACTGGTCTGGTAAACGTCTGGTCTATGTGTATTTTATAACTATCCCGGTCTGGTCTGGGACTAAAAACAGTCCAAGTAAAAACATCCTTAGTTTGGACTCTCTAGAGGAATTCATTCAATTTTTGGATGAAATGGAAGTATATTAAAACTCACCCGAAAATAACATCATACAATATCTCAAAAACTATCTAAGCTAGCTAATCTAAAGAAAATAAACATCTACTGTCACCCCTACTCTCCACCTTGTGGAAGGGAGCGGGGAGAGAAATTTTAACAATCCAAATAGATCCCAACTAGTTAGGGACAGGCCCCGACTTAGTATCTCAAAAACTCAAAATAAACATCCAAAAATAAATCTAAAGTAAACCGTCCACCGTCCACATAGTTCCATAGGATCCAAGCTAGTGAAAACCCTTCTCCATATCCCATATGCTTCAGCAGTCCAGTACCTCATTGAATGTTAAGCAATATTCGCAACACCTTAATCAAACTCCAAGGTCCAGACCAGTGAAAAGTACGTCATCTGAGCCCAATTAAGCAACACACACACGAGCAGGCGGGAACCTGGGGCTTCTGTCGGGTCAGCCCAAGTCACCACCCCACCTTTGCATTCCACTCAGCACCACAGCAAAGACGCGCCAAAGTCGTTTTCCAGACATGTCAGGTACCACGTCAAATATTCATCCCATCACCCCACCCCCACCCTCGCTAGGTCCCGACACACATCGCGACGACATGGTGGGAAGAGAAAAGTTCCAGCTGAAAATCACAACTCGTCACACTTATATACACCCTCTGTTCCACTAGACATTGTCAATTATGATTTATGGTGGAGTGATTATAAAAATTATTTATCTCTAATGATAATTTAATTAATATTAATATATAAATTTCTAAATTCTGATATCACACTAAAATTTCTCTGGTTGCAAGAATAATATTTAAATTTTATAAAAAATAGACACCCAAAATTAATGATTGAAATGCGACTTGTTTGCCACATAAACGTAAACTAGTAACTTTCTAATATCTGTTGGTCCCTAATATGTTTTAATTACAGGGTGCTTTCATTTATCACAAATGTATGATGCATGAATTTGCACGATCTTTCTTTCAACAATTGATGCATCCGTTCAATGGAAAAGAAAAACGTAAACTAGTAACTTCTAACGGGACACATGAAGTATGTGTGTGTTTGTGTCCAATAAATATCCTATGTGGTTGTGTTTATTCCGAGTGTTATTTTAATACTCCCTCCGTCCCGGATACATCTTTACGTTTGCTTTTGGAACGGTTTCTTAAGAGATCAATTAATAGGAGAGAAAATATCATTTATACCCCTGCCCTTATCAATTCTACTCCCAGCGACTACTCGCACCTTACAGCTTTCTCGTTTCTGTTAAACAAAGAACATTTCCATCTTCATCCACTACATCGTACTTCATCTCCAAGAGAGGAAGAGTAAATGAGGGAAGCTGCAATCGCGAATTCCTAATCAGCAAACAAGCTACAAAGGGATGATTCGGTATTTTGGATTCTTGCAAAAATCCAGATTGTATGACTTAAGAAAGGAATCTGACAGCCCTTATAGAGCTCGATGCTTCCAATTCTCCTGTACAAGCCTTGATCTCCGAAGGAGGCGCCCCAAACGCCTGCGGCCGCGTTCTTTGCGGCAGCAACACCTAACGCCGACTTCTGGTCTATCTCCAGGCGGATCCGCTTCTTTCTCCGGGCATAGATAATCTGGCACATGTGATTGGACAATCAATTTTATGAATGGGTTGAGAGTCTCACGTAAATGTAATTTTGAAGGAGAATCCTTTGATTCATACTCTGGCTGGAGCTATGGGCCTGGAAGTGGGTGTTGGGAGTAAATTGTGGGTGGGTAGGGTAGTAAAGGGTAGTTAGGACCATTAAAGTTAAAAATGTTGCTAAAAAGGAAATGTAAAGGACTAAATGGGACGTGCCAAAAAGGAAAGTGTAAAGATTTAAATGGGACGGATAGAGTATTATCTTTGTAGTAGTTGTTTAATAACATACATATAGAAAAAAGATATTTACATACTTGCTCGTCTTCGTGACCGTAGGACTCAGGATATAGGAAAAGTTAAGTGTGTGAAGGATGTCGATCAAAGAGTACTAATGGAGGACGGGGAGATAAAAAAGAGGTGGAGGTCTTACTTTGATACACTATTCAACGGGAACAAAGCGCAAGATATCGGTGATTTGACCATACCGGATTGTATGGTAAATCGTGATTTTGTGAGAAGGATCCAAACAACGGAAGTTAAGGAGGCTCTGAGGAAGATGGGGCAGAAGAAAGCAGTGGGTCCAGATGGCATACCGATCGAGGCTTGGAGAAGTTTGGGAGAGAGAGGCGTCGAGTGGTTAACGAGTTTCTTCAACATGATTTGGAGAAACAACAAGATGCCGACAAGTTGGAGGAAGAGTACTCTTATCTCCTTATTCAAGAATAAAGGTGATGTACAAGAATGTGCCAACTATCGAGGGATTAATCTTATGAGTCACACCATGAAACTTTGGGAGCGAGTGATTGAGCAAAGACTTCGAAGAACTGTGAAGATTTCAGAGAATCAATTCGGTTTTATGTCTGGTCGCTCAACAACTGAGGCAATTCACCTTCTTCACCAGCTTATGGAGAAGTATAGAGACGCTCACAAGGATCTGCATTTGGTGTTCATTGACTTAGAAAAGGCTTATGATAGAGTACCTCGAGAAGTTCTTTGGTGGGCCTTAACTAGAAAAGGCATATCACACAAGTATATCAGTATCATCACAGATATGTATGAGGATTGTACTACAAGTGTTCGTACTAATGTAAGGAGGACTGCAGAGTTCCCTATTACTATCGGAGTGCACCAAGGATCGGCTCTGAGCCCTTTCCTATTTGCCATAGTCATGGATGAACTTACTAAGTCAATTCAAGACGAAATACCATGGTGCATGATGTTTGCTGACGATATTGTATTGATTGATCAGACGCAATCAGGTCTTAAAGCAAAGTTGGAAGTATGGCGACAGACATTGGAGAACAAGGGTTTCAGACTAAGTCGGAGCAAGACAGAGTACATGGAGTGCAAGTTTGGTGGAGGTAGAAGCAGTGGTAATAGTGGAATTACTCTAGATGGTAAGGAGATACCGGTCAGCAATATGTTCCGTTACTTGGGCTCCATAATTCAGAAGGACGGTGAGCTAGATGGAGATGTATCCCATAGAATCAGAACAGGGTGGATGAAGTGGAAGAGTGCGTCAGGATTTCTATGTGATAGAGGTATGCCCACTAGACTGAAGGGTAAATTTTATAGGACAACAATTAGGCTTGCACTGCTGTATGGCGTAGAGTGTTGGGCAGTGAAACAATGTCACATCCAAAAGATGAGTGTGGCAGAGATGCGCATGTTGCGTTGGATGTGTGGGCATACTAGGAAGGACCACGTGCGAAATGAGACAATCAGACAAAGAGTGGGAGTAGCACCTATTGAAGACAAGATGCGGGAGTCTCGCCTACGGTGGTTTGGTCATGTGCGTAGAAGACCGAGTGATGCACATGTCAGACGTGTTGAGATGTGTGGAGAAGAGGTAAGGAAGAGAGGGAGAGGAAGACCCAAACATACGTGGGTTAGGGGAGTCCGAAGTGATATGCTTCTTCTTGGGTTGGATGAGGGTATGACTTTGGAGAGAGCAAGGTGGAGGACGGGTATTCGTGTGGAGGAGTGATCTCGTATTTTCCCCCCTCATTTTCTTCTTCTTGTTTTTTTTATTCTTTTATCCTTATATGTATAAACATTATTTTTGTCCTTTTTATTTTTGTCCTTTTTATTTTATCATTTTTAGGTATACTCATCTCGTTTTATATTATCTTTTTATATTAGCTTATTTTTTTAATCTTTATTTTCTTTCTTTTCCTTTTGGTGGTGATATCATGTATCGATTCATGTTAGCTGACCCCAATATCTTTTGGGACTAAGGCTTGGATGTTGTTGTTGTTGTTGTTGTATATATGTTTATAATTTGTTGTTACATTTTGGTTACATCTTTTATATACTCTCTCCGTCCCAATATAAAAGGCACATTTGCTTTTCCACACATTTTTAGGGTGAACACTGTTTGCACATTGTTTGGCACTGTTTGGACACTGTTTGACACTGTTTGACACTGTTTTGTTTGCCAAAAAGGGAAATGTGCCTTTTATATTGGGACGACCCAAAAAGGAAAATGTGTCTTTTATATTGGGACATAGAGAGTATAATTTTAGAGTTTTGTGAATTTTAGATTATAAGGTCAACCCAATTCGTTTCACAAACACATTGGACCTGGATTTGGAACACATATTCTAGATCTGTCCGGTGTTGTGTCCAACCTAGAACATAAAAAACTAAGAAGTCTAGGTTCCAAACATTGTGTTTTGGATCATACCAGAGTCATTTACAGTCCTACTGATCGAGAAGGGGTCATGAGGGATATGTAGTGGCAGACCCATTTACGGTTTCAAATTGCGAGTAAAAAACTAGAATTAGTACCTATAATTGGTACATAGTTGTAAAAATGATGATGATGATGATGGGATAAAGACAAAGAAATGAAAATTTTATGACTGATGATAAACGTTTAGTTCACAAATCGACAATTCCTTCTTATCTCTCCTTGATTTCCTGTTAACACTTGAATTTGTCCCATCTTGATTATGGATTCAGTGAACTTCTTGAACCACTCTGTTTCATCATCGGCAAATTTTTGTACAAGTGGTTGTGTTCTTGGATCACTGGCCAACCATTGATCAGACTCAAGCAATGCCCTTTTCAACAACAATTGCTTATAGAACATAGAGTCCAATTTGTATTGTGTGATACTATCCATTGGGACTATATTTGCCTTGTTTATGCATTGGAATCCCATCACCACCTTCAATGATCCTTCCACTTCATTTGCTTTCATCCGATCCTTTAATCGGTACCTAAAATCAATCCAAGTTGGAAATATCATTCTCATTGAAGTTATACTTTTGGCACTTCAACTAATCCATGAAAACGTGGATATATGCTATCTAAAAATATTAATCCATTATGACAAATTCATTGGATGAGGTGATTTATGTCTGTTATAATACTAAAGTTTGGTTAAACCAAAAGAAAAGAATAAATTGAAAGTATTAGCTAGTTAACTTAGCTCACAATGTAATGGGATGTATATTTAAACCAACCACCAAATGAATACGTTACATTTTTACTTCAGATAACATTAAACAAACATCGATAGCATACATATAAATTATTAAAGTAAAAAAGTAATGTTTAAGGTTTTGAGTAGCTCCTTTAATCTGGTTAGCCTTTTAGAAGAATTCATTGGACTAGATGATTCAATCAAGTTGTCTATGCATATAGACCAAATAACACTAAAGCATTGAATCATATCATTCTATAATACAATTTTAAAATTCTATACACCAGTCTACGCCTCTTTTCTCTTTAGTATTTCAATAAAGATTCTTTGTTATTAAAAAATTTAAAATTTAAAACTAATAATTTCAATCTGATGATTCATGTTAAACCTTAAATATGCACGACACAAACATCACCATTACCTGAAATTAGGACAATGAGCAACACCAATTGAGTGTGCACCTAATAGGGCCACCATGTCCTCTTGGTTCAAGCCTTTCATCTCAAAGAGTTTTGTCATTTGATCCACTGTGTTATTGGGAGATGCAATGTTTTTCACAGCATCCTCTTCTCGAGATATCGTCCCGTCACGCCTCCCGCTTGGCACATCAAAATCTGGAAGTCCAGACATAACTAGAGCGTCCCGAGATAAGAATGTGAGTATATCAGCACAAGACACAACACCAGGGCACTCTTTCTCCACCTCATCCTTGACCTGGTCGATGAGATCAAATCCACGTACAGTCTTTCCGTTCGCAGGGGCTTGCTTCTCCACCCGCTCCCCTCCAGTCACTTGTTCGAGCATAATAGATCCATCACACCCCTGCACATGCATTAATAGTCATGTATTAGCTTAGTGAAGATCGTCAATTGCTTGTTAATTTATAATTGGTTCATGTAGACCTATTCACATTTTCACGGAACAAATGAGAACTGGAACCAAACTAGTGGTTTCAAATTCTATTTAATTGATATTTGGAACAATATCTAACACAATTCTAAGATTAAATAGGTTAAACTAATAAATGATACTCTCTTCATTCAGCTAAGATTGTCATATTTCTCTTTTGGTCCATCCCATTAGGATTGTCTAACACCAAATTTGTTAAATTTGTGTGGTTCTTTCTAACATCAACCACATATCATTATGACTTTATTCTTACTTTATCAATTCAATAACAACCACATAAACACACTTTTCTTAGTAACTCTACAACATACTCATGTCTCAATGTTAGTGGGACAGAGTTAGTACAACTTAAAAGATCAAGAACTCCATAGATAAGAATAGTGTAACTTATTTTTACACCATTGTCAAGTAAGTGAACTTATCTCCTTAGGTGGTCCTAACGGAAACCGCTGTCGGGACAAGGAAGTATGGGGCCCTTCCCCAGAGAATATTTTGATAAAATGTCATGAGCGTGTTCTTTATCAAGTTTAGATTGTCTCCATAAGATGTTAGCTTAAAACTCAATGGGGAAGTCAACTAAACAAATTATTGAAACATACTGCGCTTTATGTAAATATACATAAATCGCTATATGTTTCAATAATTTATTTAATTGGCGTCCCAATTGAATTTCAAGAAAAACTTTTGCGGGCATAGGCTAGACTTTATGTAGAACACACTCACAAAATTTCATCAAAAAAATCCTATATGAAGGCCTTCAAATAGGGTCAGTTGGATAGCGGTTCTTGTCAGGCGCGCTTGACCAAATCAATCTTCTGTCAAGTAATACACTTACAAGTTACAATGTGAAACTTTAGAATGTGCATCTTAGAGAAAGTATTACGCACGTAATTATTTAATCACATAAAAGTAATGTTAGATGCTAGTACAAACTATAAGTAAGTTTGTACATTTCATACTATATATTTATATATAATTATATATGAGTCTTGTTGTCGAAATTTTGAAATGTTGAGACACCTTAAGCCCATATAAAGAACTTTGAAACTTGAATACAAGTATGTTATACTCTATTTGCTACTATTTATTTCTTATTGTTAGTAGTATTATTACTATTATTTTTATTATTGCTATTATCATACGGAGTATATCTATATAATATAAAAACCAAACCCATGGAGAGCTCTTTGGAGATATAATTGACATGTGGCACCATCTTTTGTAGATAAAATGATATTTGGCAATGACATAAACAAAAACTTTTCAACTTCCAAACTCCCACTCATATGTATTCCAATAAAAAAAATTAGATAAAATTTATGTGTAATATATGGGTGTATTTATGTGTGCGTATTTATGTGTCACAATGTTGTGTATAAATATAGGCAAAAGTTTGCACTTGACAGTGGTACAAAAAATTGCAAATACTCAAAACTAAAAAATAAATAACAAATTTTAGCCTCTTAAAAATAAAAATTATTCTTCTCATACTTCTTTTTCAACAAAATCTTGCGGGTTTTAAAGGCTGCCCCGCTGGTCAATGTAAAAAATACACATGAAAAAAGATCTTGAGAATAATTACCCTGAAATAAGAATAATCTTGAAAAAATATGTGTAATATATATATAAGTAGGAGTGTTATGGGTGTGTATTTATGCGTCACAATGTTGTGCATAAATATAGATAAAAATTTGCACTTGACAGTAGTACAAAAATTGCAAATACTCATAAATAAAAATAAAAAATAACAAATTTTAGGGTCTGTTTACTAACAGAGATATTTTCCAGTTTTCTAGAAAACTGGAAAACAGAAAACAGGAAACGTGTTTACCAAAGAAATTGCTGGAAAACTAGAGAAAGGAAAAAAGAAAAATGCGTTTACCAAATCGTTTTCCAAAACGAAAAAATGAGACATGTCTCTCTTTTCCTTAATGATTTGGAGAAGTGACTTTTACTAGTTTTCCAAATTTGGAAAACACAGATGCTATAGTGCCGCTGCAATGAATTTGCATACTTACACCTAGTGGTGGGTCCGGCTCCGTTCCGATGTCGATTCCATTCCGGTACCTCCATCCTCGTACCTTACCCCTTACCCCTACCCTACCCTACCCACCCAACCCCCACCCCGCGTACCCATTTTCCTTATAATGACCCTACCCCACCCCCTACCACATGCCCCTATCTGGGCCCCACCCCGATCCACGCTACCTTACCGCCACCCCTACCACCTCGACCCACCCTACCCTACCCCCACCCCTCGTATATTACACCTTACCCCTACCTTACCCCTTACCACATGCCCCCTACCTCGGCCCCACCCCACCGCCATCCTACCCCCCACCCTCGTACCCCCACCCTACCCTTCCCCTACCTCGGCCCCTTCCGGATCCCGGGCCTACCCTACCGTCATCCTATCCCAACTCTCTACCCTACCCTTACCTTACCCCAACCCCAACCCTACCCACTACCCCCTCCTTACCGCCATCCTACCCCCATCGCCATCCTACCCCCCCACCCTACCTCTTCCCTACCTCGGCCCCACCCTGATCCTAGTCCCACCCTACCGCCATCCTACCCCAACTACATACCCTACCCCTACCTTACCCCAACCCTACCCACTACCCCACCCTTACCCCTAACCACGACCCTAACCCACTCACTACCCCCACCCAACCCCTTACCCCTAGAGATTACCACCCCACCCCGACCATACCATACCCCTTATCCCACCCCACCCCACCCATAACTTCCCTACCCCGATCCCTACGAGTAGGTATGGGTGGGTATGAAGGGTTGTGGGGCAGTATGGGTAGAGTGTAAGATCGTGGTAAGGGTAGGGGTAGGGGTCAAGGATGTGGAATTGGAGAACTGGGTGAAAAAATTGATGAACATGTTTTAAGATTTGAAAATGGAAAAGTAAAAAATAGAAACAGAAAATTGGAGATAGAAAAAGTGAAAAATAAAAACTGGAAAATTGGAGATCGAAAAACAGAAGTAGAAAACAGGAAAATATTTCTGTTAGTAAACAGGCCCTTAGCCTCTTAGAATAAAAAATATTCCTCTCATACTTTCTTTCTAACAGAATCTTGCAGGTTTTAAAGGTTGTCCCGCTCGTAAATGTAAAAAATACACATGAAAAAAGATAATGAAAATAATTACCCTGAAATAAGAATGATCTGTAACGATGCACATCATGATTAATGGGGGTGCACACATATAATTACAACAATGCGTACTTTAACTGGCAGAAAAGTTAAAACTTATCTACAAAATGCCACCTCATTTTCTGATTTATGCTGGTGCATATTTGTATTTCACATAATGAACAACTTTGAAATCTAACGTTCCAAACTCATTCTCATTTTTCTTCTTAGATCATGTTCTCATTTGATCCAAATTATATACGCAGTGTGTGTGTGTACGTGTAAGCAAAAGTCGTCTAATGAATTTGAAGATACCGGTTCCAAATGTAAAATCGAGACCCTACATTAATATAGTAAAATCAATTGAATATTCATTAAATAAAATTTTAAAAGTTACTTTATACGGAGTACTTGATTTAAAGAAACACACCTCATTTACTCAAGCAATTTGAATAAAAGAGGACTAAAAGGACCGACAAAAAATAATGGATATGTATTTCTCTTTCTTACTCACTGTATTGTACTACGTACTAATTAATGTTAACATAAAATATTACTATATAATACTAATAAATGATCAAAAACTTGGGGACCCATAAATCGAGGGATTGTTTTGTAGAACCTATTGCACCTCTTGAAAAATTCCTCTGTGTGTAAGTAGTAATAAAAGGGGATATATAAGAAATTAGAATATTAAGCACACCATAGTTGACAAGTTTAATTAAAAAATATTATTAAATCTATTGTAGAAAAATAAGGTTATAATTAGATCTTTTGAGTATATATTTGTAAACAATGATTACTAACTGTTAATAAATTATTTTCAGCTTAAAAATAAAAACATATGTAGAAAAAAAATAATTCGAATGAATATTATAAAAATAGTAGTTCAACGAAGGTTGCTATTAAATAATAAGTACATAATAGCAAATAATTTTGGTAGTAAAGAAACGATAATTAAGATAGTGAACATCAAAACTAGCCCGTGTGCATTTTGACCACCAAAACCAGTGAGTTAATCATGTTATTAAAATACAATCCACCATGAAACGACCAAGCCCGATGGAGTTTGACTCTTTTTGACATCTATATGTCCCTTTTTAATGAATTGCCCTGGTTCAACCTGAGGTACATAGTGAATTGCGTTCGATCTCTTCTAAACTTTGATTGATAAATTCATATATAATCGACCGTCCCTATAAATTTAAGAAAAACTTTATACACATATCTTACCGTGCGGTGCACGGGTACACATACTAGTTATATAATATTTGGGATAGTGAGAGATATGATGCTATTTTATGTATGCTTATTTGTAATATTTTTATTGTTATTTAGGAAAAAATCAAAAACATGGTTTCAACTTACTTAGAAAAATCCTAAAACCAAATCGCCCAAAGACCAAAAGGTTCCACACTTGATTTGTCTCACGATTCTGATTGCAATTTGAAAATCGGTTCTTCTAATCCCGGTTATGATTCAATCGGAAATGTGGACAACTCTACAATCACCAAATCATTTACTCCCTCCGGATAAATGTTTTCACTTGCCTTTTTTGAACGTTTGATTTATAGATCTCCGTTTCATTTTAAGAAATAATTAACTCTCTTAAATGATACTCCATAATTTAATCATCATGTATCAAAATTAATACACCAATAAGGCAATAACATCAAAGTTATTACCCTTTGTATTATTATATATTTTCCTAAACTATTTCTCAAACTATACTCAAATTGCATTATTTAATTATTGCCTAAAATATCTCATCTTTAATGGGAAATTTAAAGTGAAATGGAGGTAGTATATTCTATTGACGTGGGACATTTGCTACTACCTCCACCAATCCTAGAATATAATTGAAAAATTCAAAATGACATGTATATTACTAACAAAGTTTTCCCTGACAAAAAATGACTAATTATATTTATGTACAAAAATATGACTAGTCACTGTGTACGAGTAACTGGAAAAGAGTCACTATAGTGTATTTCAGACTGATAAGTCACTGGTAGATGATGAGTTACTGAGAATTAGTCACTGAATATGTCACTTTTTTTGAAAAAAATTAAAACAAAGTTTTATCTTTTGAATTTATTTTAGTATTATTCATGAGAAAAGACCTTGAAATTCACACTTTTTACTTCTAGTGCGATTTATGCCGATCTTCTAGCATTACTATCTATAGCTATATATTAATAAATGCATATGTATATTCACCTATTATGACATTAATATGTGAAGTATAAGTAAGTTATTCATTATAAGCATTATCGAGGTATAATATAACATATGATATAGTATTACAAAATTAACCAAAATTAATAAACAACCAGTGTTAACCAATTTAAACTCCAAAATTTAAAGACAAAATATAATTTCTGAAGGGATGAATTATAATACGAGGAGCATTATTTTTGAAGATTAAGACTCACATTGACAAAACAATCGTGACTTTGGAGGCGAACCATGGCGGCAGCAAGGCCAGAGTCATTTTGGAATGCCTTCACCATTTGGTCCTTCACAATTTCCTCCGCCCTTGGACACGTCTGGTCGTAGAACCTAACACGGAGTCCGGCATTTTCATCCCCCTCACGTTGAGGAGGGGAAAAAGGGTTGAAAAAGTCCAGGAAAGACAATGTAGGGGAAAAATAAGATATCATGCAGAAGACAGCGAAAATCCTAGCAATCTTCGCCATCTCTGCAATGTTTTGGAAATTATTGTTCCATAGGCTATAGAAATGTTTTTTTCCATTTAAGAAGGCATATTGTTGTTCAATGGTGGGGAGAACTTTGAGGGTATATTGTGAATACAAATAGCACATGTGGGAGGGAGGGAGAACTTGTATATATCAATATGTGTTATATTTTTACCTCTACCTTACATTTCACATATATAATGCATGGATAGTTAATACTTCACCCCAAAAGGGCCAAGTCTAAGGTTACGATTTGTATCACTTTGAATATGATGGGGTACGGTATATGCATTTTACACACTTGTTAGTTGTTACGCCATATATTCCTTTTTGAAACCTAATTTAAGGGCTCCTTTATGTCCGGCTGTTCATGACGATGTAGCTCCTCCCGTTTTTGTATGATTTTGGTCTCAACACACTTACACACACACACAGCTAAGGTCAAAACATGGTTACTATTTTTACATGGCACCACAATTCATCCTTCTTTTATACAGAGTAAATGATTATTTTTTCATATGTGATGAAGAGTTTGCCCCATATCATATTGATTAAAAAGTAATCGGTGGAGTATATATAGGCTTGGACCCATGGTCCTTTTTGTTAGCACCATGTGATCCTACTTGTAGGATCCTAAGAACACACCACAAACCCTTGAGAGATATAAATTCAAGTCGTTCGAACAATTCATTAGGTTACCACCACCATCTATACACCACCACTGCATATACTATACAAAATATTGAACTTTACTTAGTGATTGTGTGTGGCCGTAGGTTCCCAATACAGCTCCTGAGAGAATCGCCACCGATTGACCAAACACCACCAGATTCCCATCAAGGAGCTAGTTCTCACACTGCCACTTAAAGTGAGATGAAACAATGTTTTTGCAATGACTCGATTTAGGCCCAGTGGGCTAGAGAATAATCATTTGAAAAAAAACTCAAAATTACCTCCTTGATCATTTGAACTCAGACCTCCTACGTGCATGATAAGAATTTTAAGTGTGGGAGTCACTATGCCTTGGTGGCTTCATATCTTTAATTGCTTCGTATTCATGATGTGAGGTTGTAAAGAAATACTATACGGTCAAGGTGATGTGTTATTTATGGAAAATAGAAAGAACCAAAAAACAATTTAATGACACAAAAATTATATCTATATTTTCACTATATATTTTTTCATTTTACCAATTCGATTTACAAAATTCCCTACTTGAGGTATATATGAATGTGCCACTTTGTGTAAATAAATAAAAATACAATCTAAAAGAATATGCTTGTCATTTTCTTCTACGGACATTTTGAATTTCGTCCGGGACCACCATAATAAAAATAATTGCCCCAGACTCGATTAATCCCTCCTTGTATATCATAACAGTCTGGATCGTCAGTGAGAAGTTTAAGATTAGACAAGGGTACTAGGTTATTGTCCCAATCGACCACTTGTAAATTTCGAAAATAAGAAGCTTTTCCAAACCCTTCTCGAGGAAAATGACCACTTCCCATTTGAGTTGATGTGTGAGTGGAGCTATCGCTATTGACAATCTCACCTCCGAATTGTATCATGCTAGCTGATTTCCTAAGATGTGTAAACAAGAAAGATGGCCAATATCCAATTATGGTTCCTGATCCAAACTCTAGCCACCAATTCCCTTGTTTTGGATCCTGCATAAAATAAATAAAAGTATGCATCAATACATGGAACACAATAGGGATGATATAGTTGCCCATTGGATAACTGACCCATTCAACCCAAAAGTATGGTTGAAAAACTTTGAATGAACAAAAGTTTATGGATGAATAGATCCAAGTTAAACACTTTCTACCACCAGGCTATGTTGGTTTCACGTACGTGTCCGCATCTGTCTTGACATGCTCAACCGTTTGACGTCATGAACTTGACGTGCTCTCATGTCTCTGTGTGACCATCGGTAATTCATTTATTACCCAATTCAATTATTTATCTATTACTGTCTTACTGATTATTTCTAGCCAATCATATAAGCAACCATGAATTTCCTACTGGTTGCGAATTTGAAATACTGTCACATTTATACTATTCACACATTTTACCTTGACTACACTTTACACATTATTGTATTAAAAATCACATTATATAATAATATTATAAAATTTATCTCAATGTGAAAATTCAAAATTTGAATCTTTTCTACCTCTGTTTCATTTTATTTATCTCAATGTAAAAAATGGTAAATGTAACGATCAATTATTTTAACTAATATTTTTATGATCAATAATATAAATAATTAATATTTTTATGATATTTGTTTTACAAAGAACATTTTCATATCATTTTCATATTATCAATACTTATGTGGATAAATATATAATCGGTCAAATTTAAACATCATTGAAATGAAAAGTCAAATTTGACACCGGGAACGGATGGAGTATACTTTTTTCTAAAACCAACTAAGTATACAAACATATTGCTTTAGAAAGGGATATAATATGTGCTTTCGCAAAATAGGAGTAATATGTGTTTTCATAAACATGAGTCATTATTATAGTCATGTTTGAATAACACTGTCATATTATGACATTTGTACTTTTATACTAATGCTTCATAATTCCAAAATATGACAACATAATTTCATTATGATATCAATTTGCTCCTATTTAGAGAAAAACAGAGTAATTACTAATTAGGGAAACTGGGTTGTTTTTACACATATTTCAAATTTTATTTTTATGTATTCGGTCAATTTTTTGAGTTGATACACGCAAAATTCAAATTGTTACAATCAAAGGTTGTATGTATGTAGACATTTACTTCGTATTATTTACTACCTCTATATCCTATTTAAGTTGCTAATTAAAAATGGAATAACTTGCTCATAATGGTGTTTTTATGGGTGTATGGATTTTAAAATGTAATGATTAAGTTGTCATTTGAAAGAATTAATTATTTCCAAAAACAGAAATGATAATTGCTGTGTGAGACGTTTAACAGAGTAATTACTTTTTTTACTACATGAAGAGATCGAGTATTATTTAATAGTTTCTTACTTTATTATGTGTATTAATAATTATCACAAATATAAATATGAGCTAGAACTTAATTGAAAGTGTTAAGTTTCCATTATTTTGATTTGTTTTTGTGAAAGTATCATAAAGTTGAGATTATTTATGTATAGTTTTTCAAGTGTGAGATTACTGTTGTCTAAAGTTTGAACTTTTATAAATATAGAAAGGATTAGAAAATGGTTTACCTAAACGTAAAATGACATTTTTAAGGGAGAGTGAGTCTGCGATCAGCTGGGCTATACCGCTTCCTCATAAAATGACTTTTATAATCAATTAGTATTTCATCTGTTCTAAATTATATGTAGAACATATCGTTTGCATACTTCATTTATTATTGGGAAAATGGAAACTAATAATCCAACCTTTTAGCGGTTTTCTTACAATAATCCAACCTTTTGATTATTCATGAATAATCCAACCTTTGCACCTCATCTTCATTCACTGATCTCTGATCGGTTGATGACCTGCCATTCCAAGCTATTTTCTTATCTTTGCAAAATATTATCTTTGTGAAAGATGAAATTTATGGTATAATGATTTGCAAAGATATGAAAATAGCTTGGAATAGCAGGTCATCAACCGGTCAAGGACCAGTGAATGAAGATGTGGCGATTGGATTATTCATGAATAATCAAAAGGTGGGATTATTATAAGAAGACCGCTAAAAGGTTGAATTATTAGTTTCCATTTTCCCTTTATTATTTATACGTGCCCATAGTTTTTGTGAACACTGACAATTCGTCAAAAACAATTTCAATTTTTTAAAAACCTATATGGAATTGTGAATGTGGCTTATACACGCCTCCCATGAGAAACAATTCTCATAAGTAATATCAACATTACAAACTTTGAGTATATTTAATAAAAAAAGATTATCATATATCCCACAGTAATATAAAATAATTTTCTTTATAAAAAACAAGTACCGCGATAAATTATTTGGTGCCAATTAATGGACATTTTAAGGCGGAGTAGTGGTGTATTTGTCTATTTGATACTCCATCCATATTTTTTTTGTTTACTACACTTTCTTTTTATGGATGTATTCAAAAATTTGCTACATTTTCCTTTTTTGATAAGTTTTTTCTTTAAAAATACTCAGCTACCTTTTAATTTTTCTACTTTTTATCTTCTCTTTCTTACTTTTCCACAATCTATTCTATTTTTTCTACACTATTCATTACCCCTACTATTTCAATCTGAAAAAATGTGTCAACACCTATTTTATCAAACAAAAAATAGGAAGGGAGTATATAAATAAAAATTTCAAACTATATGTATTTCAGAATTCCAATGGATAGCCTGGTCTGCTCTTTGTTGGGCACATGCAATGTATTCGGCCCATAGATGGGGGCTGGAAAGGTTGAGCACATCTGGGCCTGTATTTGTATACTTGGAGAAAAAATGTGTATGCCGCGGCCGATTGAGTCCTTTCCTACAAATAACTTGATTGAGCCATACATCCTTTCTACTTTCTAGGCCGTCCCAAATAGAGGTGGGCAAAAATACCGAAATATCGATATACCGCACTTACCGTACCGAAAAATACCGGAAAATACAGAAATATTGGTATACCGTCATTTTCAGTACGGTATCATACCGTACCGATCTATTTCGGTACGGTAACGGTAAATGTTTTCGAAAACCGCGGTATACCGGTATAATACCGTACCGACTCCCTACTCAACAATTAATTTTAATTCTAATATATTGTAGAAATCCATTACGATTTTGAAGCCCAAAATTAATACTTTTTTTAGGATCCAAAATTAATACTTAAGTTGGTTACAAATACAAAAATAAAGGCCCAATTTCTCAAACCCACTTAGGGATGTCAAAAAACCCGACCCGCAATGACCCGCCCTGGACCGAGACATTTGGGGCGGGTCCGCCCCGCCCCGTCTTGCAAATGGGGCGGGTCCGCCCCGCCCCGCCTATACAATGGGGCGGGTCCGGGTATTAGAATTGACTCGTGCCGCCCCGACCCGCTCAATATATAAGTATACATATTTTTTCTTAACTTATACTACAAATATACTTCAATATACATATGTGTGTATACAATAAATCATAAATTCTTTGATCTTATAATATATAAATAAGTATATATTAGAATGAGATGGATGGCGGATTATCAATGTCTTCTTTATATATAGAATTTTAATACATTTATTCAATTATTAATATAACTAATTAGATTAACTATTCAAGTTTGAGTAATTTTTCCTTAATTTTTGAAAAATTTAGCGTATCATGAATTTGATTTAATATATTGATTTTTAATTATTATTTAGAGATAAACATTATGTAAATTCAATTGGTAACAACTTCCCACAAATAAAAATACAAACTAGCTAATTAGGTTGCGGCGGGGCGGACCCGCCCCGCCCCGCCCCGCATGGGGCGGGTCATGGGTCAACAAGTTTGGACCCGTGCACGTCACGGGGCGGGGCGGACCCGCCCCGACCCATTGCCATGCCTAAACCCACTATAACCTTATAGGCTTCTACTACGCTAACCTTAATGACTAATGAGTAATGTGCAAATGTCAAGAAACAAGTCCATCTTGTTCCAAGATCTTGCAAGTCGTGATGGGGCCGCTGAGTAGCTGACGAGTGAAGAGAGATACACTTATTTGACAAGTGTATCTACATAGGGATTCCGCGAGTCGAGACACACAACTTTGTCCGAAAGTCTTATTCAATTTTTAAAAAATTATAAAAATGACTAAATACACAATATCATATTAGGAATAAATGGTTTTATATCCATGTTGTTTGAATAGTTTTATTTATTTTTGTTAGAGATCACTATTGATTTAATTATATCTATATTGTTCAAGTTATTTTAGGAGAATGTGTTACTATTTAATATGCGGCATGTTGAATTGCTTAAATATACTAATAATAATAATTATTGTTCAATATTGAATTGACATCAATAGATTATTAATTGTATTTCGTAACATTTTCATAATAGATTTAACATGTCGCTAGTAATAACGATTTAGTATATTTCGTTAGTCTATGATAATTTTTTGTATTGGTAGACATGCACGGTAATTTACTGATACCGTACCGTTACCGAACCGAAACATCGGTATACCGAAATGCGGTATACCAAAACTTCGGTAAGGTAAAGGTATGCAAATTTTGCATACCGAAAGTTTTGGTACGGCAAAGGTATGAGAAAAAATATAAGGTATACCGTACCGAACCACCCCTAGTCCCAAAACCATACAACTTTCTTTTAGTAGTACGAACTACGAAGTAAGGGTGGGCTATCATATCGGTTTAGTTTAATCGAACCGTATCAAACCGAACTAAATCGAACTGAAACCGGACCATATGCAATTTGGTTCGAGTGTGGTATTATATCTTCCAAACCATGGTAAACTGAACCGAACCGAAACCGATAAAAACCGAACAAAACTGAACCAAACTAAAGAAATTCAACAACACATTCAAATATTATTAAAAATTAACAAATCCAGACCGTTCCAAATCGAACCGAAACCAATAAAAACCGAACTGAAAACCGATATGCTCAGCGGCCTCGGCCCTGGAACGAAGTATCATTTAAAAAATTTGAACCACACAAATTCCTATTCCTTATTC